AATGATGTCGAATCATTCTATAGCCAAATAAAACAGACACTTAAAAATCTAAAAAGTAACGAAGTCACATATATTATTGGAGATTTTAACGCAAAAATTGGCCAAGGTCGAAGATCTGACCTGGTAGGTGAATATGGACTAGGGGAGAGTAATGAAAGAGGCGATAGATTATACCAGTTCTGTCAAGAACATGACATGATAATCGCAAATACATGGTTCAAATTACACAAAAGAAGGTTATACACATGGAGGGGACCAGGAGATAATTCACTACATATGATTAGAAATCAGATAGACTATATTCTGGTAAACAAGAGATTTAAGAATGGCGTCACCAGAGTAACGACATATCCTGGTGCAGATATCGGTTCAGACCATAACCCTGTAATAACTGACATCAAAGTGAAGCTCAAAAAAGTCCAAGAAAGCCCAAAAACACTAAAATTAAATATCTCAATATCCAACAAAACGTTAATAGAAAATGACTAAAACAAAGAGCTTAAGAAATCAATAAATAAAAACAACACAGAAATATGGAACACATTTAAAGATCTTACCTTGAAGGTAATAGAAAAATATTCAACAACGTTACACATTCACAAAAAACAACAATGGATGACTGATGAAATCCTGGAATTAATGGAGCAGAGAAGGAAACTGAAAGGTAACAAGACAGAATATAAGGAAAAACAGAAACTAATTAAACAAAAAATTAAGGTGGCTAAAAAAAATGGATGGGGGATAAATGCAAGGAATTAGAAAAGTTGAACGAAAAACATGATACGTTTAATATGTTTAAAAAAGTTAGAGAAGTAGCTGGTCTTTATCATAAGAAAACTCCACATACTATAACCGATTCGTCGGGAAAAATAATAATAGACGAACATGAAATTATAACAACCTGGTGTAATTATATAAGTGAACTGTATAATGATGATAGACCCGAAGAACCGGAGACTTTAGTTGAAGCTGAAGGACCAGAAATACTAAAATCAGAAATACTGCATGATATAAAGTTAGCACAGAACAAGAAAGCCGTTGGCCCTGATAACATACCGACAGAGATTTTAAAGCTTTTTGGACACGTAGTAAGGGGAGACCGATATAATATTCTTCAACTTATTATGATGGGTAAAATCGAAGGACGCAGAGGAATTGGTAGAAAGCTGGCCTCTTGGTTGAAGAATATCAGAGAGTGGACAGGAATAAAGAAAGCTGAGCAACTCTTTAGAATAGCTCGAGACAGAGACAGTTTCGCCATGTTAATCGCCAACGTTTAAGGGGACTTAATAGGGCACGTTAAGAAGAAGGCTGATTTTTACATTTTTATTTCGAATTCCCTATGAAATCTACATCATGTATATAAACCTTTTTCTTAAGGTCTCTTAGATTTTTTAGTCAGAAGCATTTTCTTCTTCCTGGACCTCTTCTTCTCATTCTTCTCATCACCTCGTTGCTGGTCACGTGCTGTGTCCAAAAGATCTTCTGCATCCTTCGATAAACCCACATCCCAAAGGCTTCTACACCTCTTATACTTATAATTCCAGGAGTCCATGTTTCCACTCCGTATAGCAATATGAAATCAATGAATGTTTTTACAAATTGATATCGGATATCGGATATCTAAGGTAGAGTTTATTAGGAACTTTTTTATTCATTAAAAACCGGACCTTGTGTTTATATTCAGCCTTAAGCTATCTTCCTCTCTGGTTATGGCATTCAAAAGTCATTGTAATCCCTCAGCACTGTCCGCTATAATTACGGTGTCGTCTGTGTATCTTAAGTTGTTTTCATAATGTATATAAAGAAAGAATGCATAAACAATTATTTATTTTATGTAATAAAGTAAACAATAAATTGTAGTTTTTAAGTTAAGTTTAATTTAAACGTTGACAAAAATATGTACAGAATGAACTAGAAGACAAAATTACGATTTTTTCAATTTTTTTAAATTAATCACTCTATATTTTATTTTTCGACATATTGTCTTTATGTTACTCTTCCATTTTTATATAACATTCCCTATACCTAACCTTATTACTTTCCGAGCTATTTTTAGTTTTCTTCAAATTTCGGAATGGGACAGTTATTCAGAAGGCACTCATCTATTCCTCTCCCTTTTGTATCTTTGTCGACTTCTCCTCTCCAACTTACTATCGGTCTGCTTTTATTTAGTCTTCCCTGCGGTGTTCATTTGAATACTAGTTTTGAATTGATTTAGAATATAAATAACCAAGATTTGTAATCCGGTCGATAGAGGTGCTGATAATAATATTTTACGCAGTTCATATTCAAACTTGTACTAATAGTGGCAAGATGAACATTTGAAAAGCAACAGTGTGCCCAACTGATGATTTTTAAAAACATAAAATTATTTTAAAAACATCATTTTTACACCGATTGTCAGAAGTTTGTAGGAGTTGCACAAACAAAATAAACATTAGTGCCTCTATCAACGAGGTTACAAATCTTGTTTATATACATTTGAAACAAAGTACATTATTTCCATAAGAAATCTTTTACGAGCGCCTGCATTATGGATTCTAGTCAACTTTTGTATTAACTGCTTGTAAATTTGTTGCTTCATTTCTTAATATTTGTTAAAATTATATACAGAATATTTTTAATTTACCTAATGAATTTCATTGGTATTGTGTTGCGTCTGCTATTTAATAATTCGCAAATATTCTCAATTTATTTTAAAAAATGTTTTAGGGGGTGCCGACAAAATAGACAAAAGTTTATAGAAAAATGAAAATAGTAGTTTGTTGCTGTATGTTTACTCACCGACGGCACACGCACACATGATGACCACGGGGATGATGCTGCGCTCATACTCACATGAGAGGAATCCGATATTGACGTGTCTTGCGTTCTGTAGATACCTATAGGAATTTCGCAGGTCGTAGAACAAAGTTTTTGATACAGGCGGCCATACGTGCGGATCCACATGTCGTCTTTTGATATCCGCATCTGCAAAAAGAAAGAAGAGAATTGGGTATCAGATAAAAATATCTTCAGAAAATTGATCACTTATGTAGATTTTAATATTGAATGTTTGGAGGTCTGTGTATGAGTTGTGTGAACATTCATCTAAAAACCATATAATATTTAAAAAAAATTAGCCTATTTTGTTCTATCTTCTTAAACTTTGAGTTACGGCTGGTTCCTAAAAAACTGATACGACTCTTCGTAAGATTTGATCATTTAAGCAGTGTATTTGATTGGTCTGACATTATATTATATGTATTATGACAGAAAAATAATAAAATAAACAAACAACAAACAATTGATTACATATGTAAAATCATAAATTGTGATAATTATTAGGGTCTTTTGGTATTATTTTGAATTCCTGAATTTTATAAAGAATAGATAAACGATAGTTTTTACACAAAATAGGCTATTGTTATTATTTTTATTATTATTAAGAAATAAAACAAACGATTTTACTCAACAATATATTGAAGCAAGAATTGTAACCACATTAAAAGATAACTGGGCACTATCAGAGGCAGCAGAACATTGTGACATAAGCAGAACCACAATTTTTCTACTAATACAATATGGAGGGAGCAAGAATCTCTCGAAAGAAAGCGAGGGTTTGGAAAACCAAAACTTTACAAAATTTAGATACGTAAAAATAAAATTAATATTTTGTAATATATCCATGAGCATTGATAACAACTTGTTGTATTCGGTCCATCTGCGTGAAAGGAACTATGGAATTGTCTTCTTTAGATAGCTCTTCCCAAACCTGTTGTATACGATGCCACAGCTCTTTAGCATTTTGAGGTATAAAATTATGCCGATACAACTGTTTTATAATAACCCTCCACAGATTCTCGGTTAGGTTTAAATCTGGACTGTAGCTGAGCCATGGTAAGAATTCGATGTTGTTATTCTGGAGCCACTGGTTTAATAAATTTGCAGTGTGAACAGGACAATTAACTTGTAGTTGGATAAAATTATTTTCTGGATACTGTTCTACACTATAAAACATCATGTTTTATAGAATATTCAAATAATTTTGTCCAACAATCCTGCCATCAATACGCCATACCATTCTCATTCCTTTAGAAGAAATCCTTTCCCATAAATTGACACTAAAATGACTAGCTGCTTGATATTTATCCACATATAGAAAATTAAATCTATTACTATCTGGTGTATACACGCCAATTTTGCCCTTTTTAGAAGACTGAAAAAATTTCTCATCTGTAAATATTACCCAGTCCCAAAAATGTTGATTTTGTAGCTTATGGTTTAAAGCAAATATAAGTCTTGATTAATTCTGTTGTAGTGTAAGAGCTTGTTTTTTTTGCTGAAGTTCGGTATCCAAGACGCGATATTTTAATTCTATGCCAAGTGGTTGTCCTTCTTTCTGTTAACTGCTAAATAATTCTTGCAGTTTTTCCATCTTTAAAAGGATTCTTTTCTAATCTCTCCAAAAGCGTACGATTTTTATGAGCGGTAGATATTTTCGGTTTTCCAGAACCTTGCTTTCTTTTGAAAGTTTTTTGGTCTCTCCATCTTTTATTATTATTAAAAACTGTTATTTTGCTTATGTTAAAATCATTTGCTACGGCAGATACTGACCAACTATGTTCTAATTTCATTACAATGCTTGCTTTTATTTCTTTGCTAGCATGTGGAGCCATGTTTTGAGGTTGAACACCATAAGCTATCTGACAAATTTTAAGATAGTGACAGTATGTAATAATAAGTATTTGTTCTTTAAAATACACTGTTCAATTTTCTACAAAATACGCTTTGAGAGTTGTATCACTTGTTTTAGGAATCAGCTGTATATACTAAATCTAATATTTTAATCTACTGAAGAGATTTTAGGGAAAATAAATTTATCAAAGAAACACCAAAAACTACAAATATAAAAACTAAATAATAAAATTAAATAAAACATAAGGATATGTAAGGTATGCAAGAACAGTTTGATCTAAATACATAATTAAAATAAACATGTTTGGTATCTGACTTACCGATGTTAGAAATCCCGAACCTGGAGCTTGGTCCACTCCCAGAAGAAGACGCACAAATGTTATGACGTAGTCCTTAACGAACGCTTGGTATAGTAGAGTATCTAACATGCTTGCACTGAAGACACTTCCAGCTGCGAAGGGAAGTCGGAACATGTAGGATATGTGGGATCCTCGCTCTTTTTCTCTCTGAATAAAGTAAAAATACCATCGTCAATTTATAGGTTATTCAAAAAACTTAACTACAGTTAAAGTATTCTTAATATTATTGTTAACATTATTTATAAAAAATTGATTTATTTGTTTAATCGGCTGCAAATTACTATGATAATCCCCTAAAATTGGACGTGGTTGGTGTTTAATAATATGGTTTCAACTAAATACAGTAAACAACACAGTTTATTGTTTCACCGTTATACGATATTAAGTTCTTAAGTGTGCCATAACTCTATGTGCTGTACACATGTAGAGCAAAAAGATCAAAATGAAAAAAAAAAAATTTATTTACAGAAAAAAAAGCAAAATCATATTCATTCTGACATTACAAAAAATTTAGTAAGTTAAGTTTGTTAAGCAGAAAATGGTTGACTTTAATTAGTGCGGTAGTAAATATTATTAAATTTATCTGACTTTGCCCATTGTTAAGACCTTGTACCTCAGGTAAACTATTGTTACCTAAAACCGGGCCTTTAATACTATTATCGTTTAACCTAGGGTGTTTATAGTCGATACTAATGGAAGTCAACCATTTACTGCTAAACAAACTTTACGTACAGGTTTAAATTAATATACTATTTAATTATAAGAAATATGTTTGTTTCAGTAGGTACTATCCAGTGCAAAATGAAACTACAATAATTAACTTATCAGCACTAAAATAAAATTTTTCAAAAGGTTTTATATAACAAATAGCCACTCTTAGTTCTTTGTCTGTATATGCCAAATGCTCTTGATTTCAGTGGAAAAAACATCATCCACTCCCGCCCAAAAATGAAAGAGAGATTTAAAACAAAATATTTTCCCAATTTCACCTCTTGCAGAGTCTATGAAGATTTATTCATTTACAGTTGAGATACCTAACCCACCTATTCCACTCTTAACTTACTACCAATTTGTCGTCAGCAGGAAAATAATTTTTAAAATTATGTACCAACGTACCTTAATGGACTTTCTATTGCCACATAAAGAACGTTCACATATTGTGAACTTCTTATTCCTTGTATGTTTTGATAAAGTCATTCATATCTGCAAACGGTTTTGGTCTTTTTGTTTCACATTTCTTTTAACTTTACCACTGGTCTCCAACATGTGTGTTTGCCTTTGGAGTTCTAGACTCAAAGTATTTAATTTCTTCAATATGACATATATCGACCAGGTAACTTACTTTCAATATAAATAAAGCATTATAAACACGTTGTAAAAATTCTCTACGCTTTAACCATCTAGTTTCGCAAAAAATAGCAACGTCGAATGTTCTGCATCCATATCTCTACGAAGATTTTTGTCAAAGCCTCAGTAAAAAGACTGTCGCACTACAACTATCTCGAAACCATAATAACTGAAAATTGGAACAACAACCAGGAGATAAGAGTGCGCATAGAAAAAGCTAGATCCGCCTTCAATAGAATTAGGATCTTCTTCAAGAGTTACAACCTCTCTTGATATTAAAGTAAGAATGCTACGATGCTACGTCTTCTCTGTCTTTTTTTTAAATTGTCGACCTTGAGCAAAGATATATGTAGGGAAGATTGGAAACATTTGAGACGTCGCTATATCATAGAATACTTAAGATCCCGTGAACTGACGAAGTCTAAGAAATACTGACCTCCATCATTGCTCGAAAATTACAATACTTCAAACACAATATGCACACTGAATCCAGATATGCCCTCCTACAAGCCAGACTGCGAAGAAAAATATTTAAAAAGAGAGGTCTAGAAAAAAGAACATTCTGACTAAATAACCTCAGACCCTTGTTCAAAGAAAATCTGTACAGCTTTTCTTTGCTGCTGCAGATAAGATAAAGGTTGCCATGATGATCGCCAATGTTCGTCATGTATGAGGCACCTCAAAAAGAAAAACAATCATCGTTAGCACAATGCTAAAGCCAGTTTTTTTTTTGAAAGCTAGAGCCTGTCTGTGGATAATACAATGGGTCCAGATACATTACAGAGATTTTTGTTTTACAAGTGCTTGTACATTTTGGAATCTCTCAGACATTGTATGTGTACCATATTTCAACGCAATTCTTTTACACTATGCTTGTCTGAATAATAAAATCGTTTAAAATACCAAACAAAGAGAGTGATGTTGTTTTAAGTTCAATAGGATTACAAAAAAGGAATTCTTCAACTGCCAATATACTACCACAAAATCGGACAAACGAAATTAAATGTACGATTTTATTAGTATCCGTTTCTTCGTCAAGCTGAATCGAAAACAATTTGCCATGCATTTTTTTTAAAAGCTTATACTATAAACATATGGCTATATCTTCAATTCAGAGGATAATAGTATCATGTGAAGGATGCATGAATTGCAATTTTTTGGAAAAAATTATCTTCAAACATAGTTTTTATAATCTCTATCGTATAATGTCTTTACCCATGATGTTTACCTTTTTGCATCTGTATTGTATAGCTTTTCCGTTCGCAGACAAAGTTTTTTTAAAGAATGATGCTTTCTGTTTATATGAATTTAATTTTTTATTCAAAAAATTCTCTCGGCTTGTTAACACACTCACTAGGAAGTGTTTATAAATGGCGTCCAAATTTACTAGGTTTCATGTTGTGTGCTGCAAAATTTTTAAGCAAATGACGCACGTTGGTTTCAGTCGCACGCACGCAGTCGAGCAGATCTTCCATATTATTCCAAACAAATCGAAAAAACGGTCTAAACTTTTCGTAGAAACGGTAAGCTACGAGGATGTTCGAAATTCGTCGTAAATGACAGAGAACAGATAAGAAACATTTGGCTAGTATTGTACGTAGTTGGATACGCCAGTTTAACTATATGGGATGTAACGGAGCAAGGTTGCCAAGTTTTAATAAATTCACTTATTGCCGGTAACTTTGAAGGTTTGTAATGAAGTTATCTATTAGGACAGCAGACATCATCATGCAGCCTTCTGTGTCCAAAGTTGAATACATAGGACTTCCCTAATATTTTCCAGTTCTGTCGGTCTTGAGCTTAATGCAGCCAATTTCCAGCGATTTTTTTGACGTCTTTAGTCCATATGTAGGTGGTATACCTCTCGTTCTTCTATCTTATCGTGGTCTACGTACTGTACCATGCTATGTGATCTATGACACCTGTCGTTCTTCTTATTTCTTCGTTTCTAATCCTGTCTCTGGAAGGAAGTCCAAGTAGCTAGCGTTCCATTCTTTTTTTGATACACTCTGAGTTTAGTTGCTGTAGGCTGGGTTAAGGACAATGTTTCATCGCCATACTTATGACTGGAAGCACACATTAGTCGAGCATCTTCTTTTACAAATAATTTGACATGTAGCTTTTAAAGATATCTGATGAAGCTCCATATGTGGCACGTGCTTAAGTAATTCTTTACAGTATAGGATTTTTTTCTGCGGACTTTGAAAGCATGTTCCATAATTACCGTAAAGAGTTTGGAAGATAACCTGTAATTTATTATTATATGAAAAAGAAAGATAGGAGCTCCATAAGCTAATCCTCCTTGTAAATTCTCCGGGCTTCTACCTCTAGCAAATTGAACACACTCAATTAACAACTAATGATATTGCTCAAAAAAGTCTTCCGCTCAAAAAAGTCTCCCGCCAAAAAAGGGAGTAGCCCTACTTTAAAAAGAGAAAAACTAAATGAGGACATCGTAACTCGTGTCGATTTCGTGGCCAGAAAACAACTCTATGAAGAAATGTGATAGACGAACTTTAGACAAAAGGTCTAAAACAAGAATTTGACCTATCGCTTACACTTTTTAACATAAGTAATGCTCAATACAAAAAAAAAAAATCAAAACAGCACTACACTGGTACGCTTCAATGGCTCAAAGAATGCCAGGCCATAGGTAACCAAAAAAAAATAATGAAATAAAAACCTGTTTTATCTGGAAAACAGAATATGTTTTCCTGTCTTGGTTTATTAGGTCAGTGATAAATTTTGGCGAATGTTTTGTAATGAACTGTAGCCGTTGTAGCCGTTCTTGTTACGGTCTTTGCAACGCCGCAATAGGGTTCTGGTCCAATCGGTTCTAGGCATAGATGAACCTTGTTTGGTCATTTCATCTGATTTTTCATTGCCCTTTTGACCCTTGTGCCCCGGTATCCAGGCTACTGTAACCTTGCTAAGGTCTCCTAGTTTATTTATCGGCTTTTAATTTCTCGATTAGCTTTCTGTTGTGACCACCATGCATCTCGATTATATGTCGCGGACAATGAATTGGTGGCAGATTCAGCAGGACTTTCAACGATGCAGTAGAAGTTATTTTCATGGTTAACGTAATACACAGGCATGCTAGCCTTTGTGTATTACCTAACAGCCTTATTGCTCCTACCTGCTGCGTCTTTGTCCACCACTTCTCCGAGCCGTAGGTTATCATTGGTATGATAACCCTTGTGTATAACCATAGAGTAATTTTGGGGTTAAGTCCTCAATTCTCACCGCACATTTTTTTACATCTGTCTAGGACATACTAGCTTTCTTTGTGGTTTTCAGAATGTGAGTATTCCATGTAAACCTTTGATCAAAATACACCCCAATGTATTTTGTTTCTTTGGCAAATAATATCTCTGTTCCTCCCCGCATTGGTGATTTTAGGCCTTGTAGTGCTGATTTTTTTATGAAGCTGACGATTTGTGTTTTCTGAGCATTAACTATCAGTCTCTCTTGTTAACACCAGTCGTCAACTATATTTAGGGCTGCTTGCATTCTCTCAGACACCACCTGCACAAATCTGCCCCTGACAACGACTGCTATATCGTCAGCATATTCTAGAGAGTAAAAGCCGTGTTTGGATAGATTTCTTAAGAAATCATCTATCAAGGTTGCCCAAAGTAGAGGAGACAGAATTCCTCCTTGTGGACAGCCTTTACCTACTTTTGCTTTGATAGTTGCTTTACCCAGAGTAGACATTTACTGTCCTATTCTTCAGGGATGCCCTTATCCATCTGCATATTACCGCAGTTGCGCCTCATCTACTCACAGCTCCTATCAAA